AAACATTCCATAAAAAGTCACTTCTTGCTAATTTAACCTTTTTGCCGTTCAAAAACTATTTTTACGAGTAAAATAAATGTATTTTAAGGTCCTATGCGTGAAAAGTAAACATACTGATAGATAGAATTTTATAAGATTGAAATATGATGAATATATTGATAAATGCTCAGATTATAGTGTTCAGGAAAGACAGCAGCAGTATTTTCAAGTTATCCTAAATCATAATACCAAAATTTATTATCAGTATTTGCCTCATCCACAACCTTCCCACATCCTCGCCTCGTCTCCAGAAGCTACCCATCCTGAGGGATAAAGAGAGATTTGCCGCATCCCAGGAGAGGGGGGAGGGGGCTAATTCTCCCTAATTACGTGCTGAAAAACTTACCAACTCGCTTGATGTGGTTAACTGATTACACGTTTACTACGATATTAGTTTTGGGTGATTCTATTGATGTTATGTAATAAGTAATGTAGGAATAACTTTAACATTCAACAACGTGATCATATTATAAAATAAAGTTAAGATTACGTGGGATTATTAGAGATTTTTGTATGGTTTGGATGTTAATGTGACAGTTAAAGTTAGTAATATATTTTTTGAAAGTTGTGAACTTATTGGCTATGTAGGTAATACTGATAGAAATACGTTAGATGCAATAGAAATTGCTACTGTTTGTTATAAATAACTAGGTACCAACTTAATTTTTTTCATAACTTTTATTATACTAAAATTGATGGACAGCAATTTTCCAATTCAAACAACAAAAACTTGCATGCACTAAACATGATTGTAAATCCAATTTATTTTATAAAAAATACGGTTTTGTTCTTCTTATGTTGTTCAAAATTACTAATAACTAAAAATAATTTCGAAATCGCTTTGTTATTATTATGACTCTAGTCTCTACCCCTAGTGTCACGCGAAACATAGCTAGCTTTTTTTGTCAATTTTTAAAGAACACGTCTTTAAGCTACATATATAGTATTGGCAGACATAATCTCAAATAATTTCCTCTGTAGGTAAGTCAAAATAGCATACTAAACATCGCTTCAGTATAAAATAACATACATTTTAACTGACTCACAAAGTCGTACCAAGATGCAATTTAGAAAAATCCTCACAAATATGTTTCGCGACAAATTTCAATACATTAGTCTCCCGCGACCTGTCAGCCCGCGTTCCGCCCTCCTTGAAGAGTTCCCCTCACATTCTTAATACATTTTCATAGGTTATTAACGGTACCTGTAGTGATGTACCGTATGAGTATCGACCTCGTACTTTTTAAGGTAGCCTTTTGCCGCATCTTTGTTTGCGTGTAATTGGATAAAATGTAGTTTTAACTATCCAATAGTTTGGGTGATATTCTGATTTAATACATTTTCATAGGTTATTAACGGTACCTGCAGCAATGTACCGTATGTGCAATCGAGTATCGAACTTGTAATTTTTAGGAGAGACTATGTGAATTTGCCCGCGTATAAATTGGTAAAACGTAGCTTTAATTAACTGTTCCAATAAATAGTAATTATTTATTTAGTAGTAAAGTTTCTTCCAAATCGAGATTCATCAGTATGATTCTAAATTAATTTGAAAGTAACACGATCGTTCTAAAGTGTATTCAAGTTTTATTTTGTTTTTCACTTTTAAGAAAACTTACAGGAAGGAAAATAAATAAAGCATAGCATACTATACAAATTGATATAAACGATTTACAAATTCTATAGCTATAACAAAATTCGTCTTCTTCTTTAATTACTCAAGAATCTTTCAAAATTGTTACTTTATATTTCGAATTAAACAGTCTTCGTACCCCAAATTGAAGCCACGATAACTAATCAAGAAAACTCATACTTCAGTTACACTTTGTAGCCTTCACATCCCTAGTATGAACGCTAATGTTGCGTTAAGTCCCCCGTATGGAGTGTTTTAAAACATTATGGCTGGCTGACGCAATTACCGCAACTTCTAAGTGGTTGCTGAAGGTTTTTCGAAAGTTTGCCGACATGTGACTAAAGTGGCGAGTTCGAGGATTTCACGGTTTAATTTGATGAACATTATGTTGGGAACTTTTGGAGTTTTACTCAGCGCCAGGATTTTCATTCGCGTATTAAATTTTTGTGCAATTAACAAGTTACTTGCTTACGTGATAAGTTATTGCTCATTTGAGAGAGACTTCCTTACTAACGCCCTTAGTAATTAAAAAGTTACACATGCGTTCAATGGTAGTCTACACTAATATTATAAAGAGGAAAACTTTGTTTGTTTGTTTGGTTGTAATGAATAGGCTCAAAAACTAAAAGACCGTTTTTAAAAATTCTTTCAACATTCGAAAGCTACATTATCCACGAGTAACATAGGCTAAATTTTATTTTAGAAAAAAATAGGGTTCCGTAAAATATGTAGATAATGTAGACCACGCGCGCGAAGCCGCGGGCGGAAAGCTAGTTTAAAAATAAAATATTTCGACAAATTGAGAACCTCGTCCTCTTTTTCAGTCGGTTAAAAATAGCATTTCCATACTAAAAGGCATTTTATATAGTGTTCAATGCGCATGTAACTTTTATTAGTAAAGGGGTAAGTATTTTTTCATGTTTTTATTGAACTGAAAGTACAAATCATGCCAGTAAATACACTAAAACATGCAAACTTTTTAATTCTTGATTAAATTTTCATCGTATAATTTACACTTACCAAACTAATAATATCGAACACAATACGCCTCCCCATTTCAACCGTTCAAAATCACACAAAGCCAAGTGTTCCCATTAACAAACACAGCAACAATAACGACAAAAGAAACAATTAACGGCCCGCGCTAACAACACTAAACATTTTGTTATTGTTAAGCTGAGTGCTCACCGCACCGTGTAACAACGTGAAACAATCGACACTCTGTATGCAGGCAATCACCTCGCCCCACGTATGCACCACCCCTTACTTCCAACAGCGACACATTCAACCTGACCCCTTTTGCAAGTCAAACAAAACGGCACGGGAGGTCTCATTATTTTGGCTTGCAACTTAAAAGTGACAAAGTTGCAAGTGAACATGTGTTGTGGAGCGATACAACCTTGTCAGAGGGAGAGGTCGTTTGTTTAGTTAATAGGGATTTGATGAAGAGCGTCATGTCAAGTTGTAAGCCCAATGGTGCGAGGGAAGTCAATATTGCAGAGTTATTACTGTACGATGTATTATGTCGATCTGAAATTAGGAAAAATCAGAGAAAACCTTTGGAAAAATCGTTAATAAGGAATTTTATGGTGTTTTTAACTAACACAAACTGAAAGATAATGTCTTTTTAATTCTCATTAATTTATTATTATTAGAATCTACGAATAGCGAGAGATCGTTTGTGGAATCTTTTGTTACTATTTTTTTAACATTTAGTTTTAAAAGTCTCTTATTATTTGGTCTAATGTTTACATAGGTAAGGATAGCTGGCTTACGTAGTAACTAAGTCTTCGCATAACGTGTCCAGAGAATCAAACTGACACCTTATTAAGACCAGCCACAAATCGCACTCAAAAAACTTCCTAGTCTTTTTTCCATCGTCATTACATCTTAATGCAAACAACAAAAATTGCCCCCACAAAGATAGCAGAGGGGAGCAGACTCGGGTGAGCGCGTTAAATATTAACACAACCCCGTAAGTAAGAGATAAAAACTATTAGGGCGGCGGGGATTATGGCCGGATTATTATTTTAACGAAATTAGCTTACGATCGTTAAGGGACGCCAAAGATTAAGTTGCTACAGAAGGGTCAAGTTCTGAAATGTTCAAAGTAGGTCAGTAAATTTGGTGTTTTGTTTTTGAAAGACTGAAAGGATTTTTACTAATTTTTAGACTCACACGTTACACAAAATTTGCCTCCTGTCACATAAAAAAAAACGTACTGAATATAATTTTTACATGTTTGCGGAAAAATCTAAGTACACTGGTGCAACGATAAAATCGACTGAACGATTGGTATTTCCAGCCATTTTTGGTCTTTTATTGTGTATTGATTATAACAGTGTTTTATATTTATTCAGTCAGTCATTTAAAAAAGAAAATATCTGACCAAGTCGATCAAAATCATACCTAATTACCTACCTATCCGAGATTTAATATTCTCGATTTGAATCGTTAGCGTAAATTTTACTTTATTTATGCCAAACATCTCTTCTGTACGAAAAACCAGCTTGATCACCGCAAGATTTTAGCACTGCGCCCAGCCGGCTTATTAAAAGTATATTGCGAAAATTGCGCTGCAAATGTGGCTCTGTCCTCTCTAACAAACTTATACTGACAAAAATAACTAGGCCTTGCTTTTCTTACTAATTCTTCTTCAAACAAGGTCTTTTTCCCTGGCCTTAGTACGGCAATGTCCAGTTTATCTTGAGCCTTCGTAGCATGCTGCTGCCTTGCTACGCAAGTCCAGGTTATCCTGGTGGTTTTACCCTCGCATTTGGTCGTGGAATGATCTGTAATCTTCATGTTATGCCCAGAATGGGGCGGTAATGACGTGATATAAAATACTTGTGCGTCGACAGCTGGATCAGTGTGAGTTTATTATTTATGGCGCTAGTTACGAGGGAAGTGAGCCTAATATTTTTGTTGTATTTCGGAATGCGACGGGGTGCAGGTTCAATTAACCAGTGTTTATTACTTATTAGATGTACACGGGGATTCCCCTGTGCGAATTTTGGTCTATCAAGAAAGCCTATAATGCGTGTTTTGTAGAGTCATCACTGATTTCATTAACATAGGTAAAGCTTTTGCCCGCAGCTTCGCCCGTGTGTATTAAAACAGTCAGTCACAGAACAAGGCGACAGTGAATAAACATCATGACATCCTAAACTGCATCTCACTAAACACCAGGTGCGATTGCGGTCAAATACCTGCCTTGTTATGCACAAAAAAGAAAGACTGTGTACCAACAACATATTTCTTTGCCCTTGTATTTCTCCATGTTCTTGCATTATAATATGCATTTCTGACGGTTGTTCGTTTGTTTCAGGTGTGGTTCCAAAACCGAAGGGCGAAGTGGCGAAAAGCGGAGAGGTTAAAAGAGGAGCAGCGCAAGAGGGAAGGCGCCGAGGTGCTCACCAAGCGGGACCCCTCCGATGACAAGGTGCGTCGACTGTGAAGGGATTCACGCAGTTTTTTACTTATTTTTTCGGCTTTCGGCGGAAAAAAATCAAAGAAAAGTAACATTTGCCCTTGCAAGTTCATCTTGTTTTCATGAAAAATTTTCTGAAAATATTCCCGAATGTTACTTTCAGTGATTCTTCTTAGATTATTTGCGAATACCTACCAGAATGTCTATCCCTAAATTCAATGATTTTTGTATTTCGTCCGATTTTACGTCTCATTTCGACTTGTTTTAATTTTCATACTTTGGTTTAAATACTGAAAGATAAGATCTTGCCTACATCACCATGGAATATGACCAGATTCAATCAAGATAATTGTGTTTAGTGGCATTCTTTGGAGAAAAGGATTGTCATAGTATCTTGAAATAATGAATACGTACGCTATGGCAACTATACAGGGTGGAAACGATAAGTGATCTCACTCGATTATTTCTAAACTATACAAGATATCCAAAAACTGGTTACTGATTCTGAAAGTACTTCACAAGCTCTTTCAAACGGTATCAATAACAGGTTACACAATAAACTGAAACTATCCGAAAATTCAATGTTTCCAGCTTCCATACGTTTTTCGATTTCTTGTATAGTTTAGAAATAATCTATTATAGCAGAATATTAAATCACATCTCAATCTCCAGGGTTCCTCCGAGTGCGGCATGTCCCGAGGCTCCGCAGAGGCATCGCCGGTATCCGCTACCGGCTCCCCTAGAGCGTCGCCGCCCGTCACGCCCGGCTCTCCGCGGCGGTCGCCGCTACGGTCGCCGCACCGGTCGCCCAACAGGTCACCTAGGAACGAGAGGTAACCTCATCTCCAGGGTTAACAATGTGACTCTATCCCCAGCTCTCGTTCAAGGCAGAATTTAACATGATTTACAGAAACCAAATATGTAAGACGCAGTGTGGGCAGGCACCGGCAATTTGGTGAAGGGAAGGTTGCGGTAAGTAGGTACCTGGATGCGGGCAACGCAGGACCGCTCGTTGTGGAAATCCTTGGTGAAGGCTTTTGTCCAGCTGTGGGTGTTATTTGGCTGAAACGAAAGAACACAGACTAAACACAAAGTATATAAAATAGATATTGTTGCAATAAATCCCGTGAAGTAATAATTTTAAACACAAAATTTCAGTGTTTAAACCCTCTCAAAACTAATTTAATAAACCCTTCCACCCATCAGGTCCGAAGCGAGCTGCGCGTCTCACGGCCGCCATGGGCAGCGTGGTAGGCTTTAAATGGGTCTTGAAAAAGCGCTTTTAAAAGACCTATAAAAATACTTATAAAGTTTAATAAAGCGGTTAAGCTGTAGATCGTGGCTATACAGGAGTTGCAGTGGAGGGAACGAGAGATGAAAACAATTATTTTTAAACATCATCCATAGGAAGAGACCGCTACCAACCGTCAATATGGAAGTCATTGGAGGAGGCCTAAGTTCAGCAGTGGTTCGTGTCAGAATCTTACTGAAAGAGTAAAAATATTGTTTTATTTCTAAACTTAAAACCCTCTCAAACTCTCAAAGGTAATAAACCCTTCCTCCACCAGGTCAGAAGCGAGCTGCGCGTCTCCTGCGCCTTCGGTCGGCAGCGTGGGGTCGAGGGACGCGCCCTCCGACCAGCGGCCCTCACACCACCTGTTCTCGCCCTTCGACCAGTGAGTACCTAGCTTTAAGTATGTACTGCGTCTGTAGATAAGCCTTTTGGTTTTAGGACTATTTTTTTATTTTTTTTTATTTATAACATGGCAGGTATTTGACCACAATCGCACCTGATGTTAAGTGGGATGCAGTCTAGGATGGTACATATAGATTAAACTTTGTTCTTTGGAACTGGTAGGTTATTGATAGAGCTATTACCGGGATAGGATGTGATATAGCGATATCTATGTGATATTTTTGTTGATCTTACCATTTCTTAATATTATGAACCACATCAAAAATTAAGTCATCATAAAAGCCGTGACAATAAGACAGTCCATAAATTTTATCGTCGTGAAAAAGTCTTGATGAAGTTCTTAAATCTTGGAGATATGAATTTACGTACGTTAAACGTATGAGGTTTCAAGAATTTTCTTGATTCGATTACATTAAATAGTTGATTAAAATAAATACCTACTATTCCCATGAAAATCTTAGCGCGAAAATGTCTTCTCAGAAAAAAAAACAATTGACAGTCGGTTTTGGTCAAATAAAGAGCAAAAAGTTTATTTGTGGCCAGGAGCGTGACCAAGGAGTCTAGCAGCTAAATGGTATTTCAAACATCTATAAAAATACTATCTTGAAGGTTTAATAAGTCAGTAATTGTGAAAATTCGTAGCAAATTATTGGAAATGTGAACTTTATATTTACAATCGTCAGTAACATTCCTTAACAAATCGTTTATAATACGTTCAAATGTACCAATTGCCGGTCAAATTATTCCATTAAGCACACAATGATGCTGATGCTGATGATGATGCATGAAAACGCTTGACTAACAAATGAGATGCTGAACTTTGGCCGACTGATTAATCGAATAACCGAACGGCGCGATTCCAGCGAGTTGGACGTGGTCACTAGGGATAGTACTCGTATACGAGCGTATTCACAAACATTACTATGAGGTCTCACAGTGCGCGAGGACGCACGCGTGACACATGAACCAATCACAGAGGTCTATTGAATGCTGTGCGTTCGATTTGCTGCTTCACTCGAGCAAACGATAGAGTCCAAAAGCTTTGCACTTTAATATTTCCAACATACTCGTAGAGTTCAATTTTGCGATAGGTATTTATGACTTCTTAAAATTAATATTAGTTTGTACCGTCTCAATTTGCTCTGATTTTCTGAAACAGCGGTGGAATTTTGAACATTTTTTCTTCAGTCAGTCATTCAGTTGGGATATTACCTAGTTCAAATAATTTTGAATTTTAACTAATTAAAGCTGTAATTGTTACAAAATTTTAGGTTTCATAATCTTGAGATTTAATTCCTGGCTAGAAAGATTTGATATTAACTCATAATACAGGAGTTTGATTCCTAGCTAGGCTAAGCAATTATTAAATCACCTAATTATGCAACTTTGACCAAAATCGATTTCGACAATCCTTTCAGCAGTGGTACTTGGCTGAAACGAATGAATGAACTAATTTCAAAAATGCGTTGGTGCAACTTGAAAAATTTCACTTTGACATAACGTCGCTAAGAGAGAGTTGTCATTTACAAAACTCAAATAAGTAACTCTTTAAATAACTGGCAACCCTGATCGCTGATCGCTGGTGCGCGCGATTACTTCGTTACACTGCCGCCACTAACTAATGAACTGTAATTATATTGCGTCCACCACTCCATAGCCACACACTACTATACCTAAGTACCGATGCTTCTCGGAAATTGGAACGAGTGTGGAATTTTCTACAAGTTCTATTTAGTTTGCGGTAACTTTTAAGCAAGTGAATAGAACCTTGCTTAACATATCTGTTTACAGAATTTAAGTAGGTAATTATTAATACAACTCTGTTAGGACATTTAACAAAATACGCGCTAGATTTCAAGATAGGAACTGTATGGTAGCAGCTGATGTGAAAATAATTTCATAGATTTTCTTCTATAGAGCCTACTCAGTTCGGTGTAAAGTTGAAGTTCTGTTTACTCAGTATTGTAGAGTCGTCTGTTAATTAAGGTTAGCGTTTTGTTGCAAAAACGTACCTATTATAACTACTTACCTACCTACAATAATAGTTCATATGACGTCGTAAACTTTACTACGTACGCTTCATCGAAATATTCCGTTATTAACTTTGCCAATGAATTCGTATTCTTGACCGTCAACCTCAAATAAATATGTTACACAAATTAACGACAACAATAGCTACAGTCAGACATACATTTTGTTGGAAAATAGAACCTATTACCAGTACATAGAACACCACAGTGTTTACCTTGATGTGATGTTTGTACGCGATGATATCTCATTGTCGACTCGCTAACAAATCCAATTGTAATCGATTGAGTGCGTCCGATTGGCATCGATATTTGGGTCGTGATTGATACTGTCGAGCAATTGAATCCGAACTGAATTATTGAGCGTTTCGACAGTCACCTGAAGGTTGTCTGGAGGAGATTGCTTTTGCTGCTGTTTACTTCGGACAACGTATGGAGTGGCAAGAATAACACTGAATGGTTGAATAGGAGATCAAGTTTGTTAAAGGCAAACCCATCATGTCTCAAGATGGAGCTATGAAAAAGTATTAACTAAGTGTTTACAATGAAATAAATTAAATCAACATATAATTCAGTACTAACGCCCTTTCTAGGGCGCTTGTATACGTCTCAAATTATAGCTTTCCCTACGTGCCTTAAGTTCCAATTACAGTAAAATAAAAGCTCGTTTATTAAATTTATTTTGCGGGATGATTTTTAGGAAAAAGTTATGAACTTAAACTTTAAAGATTGCCATCCGATTGAATGAATTTTAACTTAACATTTCACACACATACCAATACCTAAACTTCAAATATTCCCATTTGTATTGAAATGGTGTCCTTTTACTATTTTTAAAGGCTTACTAAACCCTGATACCTATTTGATTCTGAACACTTCTAAAGTTACTGTCAATGCGGTAGACCAATCCAATTGCAGAGAGGTCGTCCGAATTGATTTTAATTACCATTAAACGTATGAAAAATTCCTGATTACACTTCTGTGGTCTGTTTAATTGTCTTTAACGATTTCAGGGCTCTACAATATCAGTTTATGGGCGTAGTAGTTGAGTTAATTAAAAATGGTGTAAAATGTAACTTCGTGTTAATTAATAGGTCAAAACACAGACACAGTTGTGAGCTTCCTTTGAAGGAGTGCCGATGGTTATGTAAAAGTCTCGTATCATATTATTTCTAGGCCAGTTAGCTCTCAAAGTCAACTAATATAATCTTGTCTCAATTACATGAAGCTAAAAAGGGCATATCTATTTAAAATCGTGAATATCTGTATGAAAAAATGAGTTAGGGACTCTTCAAATCAGAAAAGTAACAATTATATTCTTAACAGTGAAAAAAGTACGTTCCTTTCGTTTGTTTTAAGAATTTCTAAGTCTCAGATGAGACAGTAATTCCTACTTCTTGTTCCCATATTCAGCAATTAAAACAATGATGTAATACATGATTAATTAAAACACTAATCAAGTCATAGAACGCTTATAACAATGGCCGTCCTCATCGTTCACAAAATTCAATTCCGCCAATTTGCTCCGTAGATTTATGCCAACTTTAGCATAAGTTGAAGTTGTCGGAGCTGTCAAACTCGCAAGATTGTCGGTAATCGAATCCCGGGGCTAATGGTCAATAATAATAATCGAGGTTAACTTGGTTCCGCTCGGAAATTAACTTTTAAGTTAACGGTAATTTATTATGCTTGAGACTTCGTAATTCACTTGGTATCGGAAAGTTTCTTGGCGGTGGACAATATTATGTGTTTCTTGAACTTTAACCGGAGTATGTATAGTATTTATTTTTAGCTCCACTGTGATAATTATTACAAAACTGTTCACTGTACACTGTACAGCCTATGTACCGTTACCGTACTGTATACTCCAGAAATCAATTAGGTGCATTTTAAAATGCCGAAAGGCATTAAGTCCGCCTTATGTACACCGTTCTATGTGCATATAAGTTTAAAATAAATAAATAAAATGTAAATAAAGCTAGTCATTTAATAGAAGGTAGAGCAATCATAATGGAGTATTTTATTGCATAAAAGGATAAAAACTAAAAGACTGTATTCATATTACACCGTAACTACTACGAGTACTGAAAAGCACGTAAACTTTCATTCTATTACTTCCTGAAGATTTCTGAAAAGTTTTCAAACAATCAACCCTCTTGGACTCAAAGCTTATTATCCTACAATCAGATAACTCGGACGTGCGCGAGCAGCAAAACAGCATGGCCGCCTTAGAACAAAATGGCGGCGCTTCCGGCCGGACCGGAAGCCGGCTTATATCGCCGCCGGTGCCGTAATACCGCACTAATGCGCTTTTCATCCTTTAATCCCGGTTATGGATGTGTGATAACATTAATATGAAGATATTTTACGAGTGTGGGGAAGCAGGCTTGATCGCATTTTACCGCAGCATATACCTACTACGAGTATTGTATAAAAGTGCCAGTAATCTATACTTATAATAAATCTGTAGAGAGGTCAATTCTGTACATGAAATATATTTTCAAAATAACTATCAGGGGGTGATTAGTGATCGATACTGATGACAAAATTCAATCAGTAAAATTTTTGTCTGTCTGTCTGTCTGTATGTTCCTTATAGAAACAAAAACTACTAGACGAATTTTAACGAAACTTGGTACAATTATTCTTCATACTCCTGGGTAGGTTATAGTATACTTAGGAATTCCCACGGGAACGGGAATTAGCGGGAAAATCCTTTTGTATGAAAAATCTAAACCGCTTAAGTTAGACGTTTGAAATTTGGCATGCAGGTACCTTAGTAAATTTAAAGCTTAGTTACAACAGGATATTGCAAAATTCCCACGGGAACGGGAGTTAGCGGGAAAGAATATTTGTATGAAAAAATCTAAACCGCGTAAGATAGATGAAGGGGGTAAAACGGGATCCACGCGTACGAAGTCGCGGGCGGCCGCTAGTAAGTTACTAACTACGTA